ACAGGGAATAGGATTTGATTTTTCATGACCATCAGCCCTGTCCTCTTCCTCCAAGAGGAAGAATAAAGTCCAGGGCTGAGGGCATGATACCATCTCTGCAATGCTGTGTACCTATTTAGAAGGAGAGCTTAGGTGGAGCAGCACAGCGGGCAACTATGCAGCTAAACGAAACAAAGTACAATACCTTGTTGTCGGTCTGCCTCTGGCCACTCATCTACAAGATGCACAAGAAAAAAGTGAATGACTTTTTAAAAAGATAATTATACTATTTACAAGCTACTGTAGCTTGGTGGTAATAATTTCATAGACTACTAATGAAGAAAGAAATGTACAATAAGGTATTTTTGCAACACAGAATGGCACTTGTTTTTCTCTTTCACCCAACCCATCCTTTGAGGAAAAAAGTCATCTTCTTTCTATTTATCCTACTGAGCCCACACAGTATTCATAAGAACAACACCTTTCTGGGACACGGGTAAGAGAAGTGGGACAAAGTAAGCAATGCAGGACCCTGGGATTTCAGTGTTAAGTGAACTTGAACTGTGAAAAACACCAGCAGTCCAACTATACATTGACCTTCCAAATTGAGGGGAATTTGAACAGACCACAGCAGCTGTGTATGTAATACATTGCTTTTGCACTGGTGTTTAATTCCGATTTCACATTCCATCCCAATCATCCAATACTTCAATCCTCCAATCTCCACCCATCCTGCACAAGCAAACCTCAACTTCACTGCATTGAACTCACTCTGGTTTCCAAATCCTTCACCATCTTCACCCATATAATCTCCACTGCTTTCTCCATCCACATGGCCAAATTTGTAGCTTATCTCCCAATTCTGACCCTCCCTGCACAATTCCACCATCATTAGTTGGGCCTACAATTTGCTATTTTGACCTTAAATCCTCACTATATCAGCTACCACTTTGAAAAGCGTCCTTAAAGGCTTTCTCTTCAATTGTGCTACCAACTGCTTTTCTAAATACTCTGCATGTCTTTGTGTAAAAATCTTTGGAGTGTTTGTTTTTTAAAGCTGTTATATAAATGCAAGTTGTTGATGGCACTGGTTAGAAATGCTTCAATTTTGGTGCAATACAGGGAACAAATGGGAAGGGGTTAAAGATTAAAATGCACTGAACGAGATCTTGCTCAGTAGGTATTGGTAGAATTACACATAGTGGCAGCATTACTTAAAAAATAAAAGAAGAATTGTAATTTCTGGATAATCAATATACAAAGTGCACCAAAGTCCAGTGAATGTGTTTTAAGGATTAAAAGGAACCAATAAACTGATGTTAGATTGAACTATCCAAAGTGATACCAAAAATAAAAGATAAACATGAAGTGATACACTTTGATAGGACAAAAAGAAAAATCACCTCACATCTTAGAAAGGAAGAAATTAAATGGGTATAAAAGCAAAAGATTAAGAACCAGATGAAGAACAAAACATTAAATGTACCATGACAGGTCAGCAAAGCAATAAAAAATGGCAACAAAGCGTCTGGATTTGCTTGTCAGGGTAAATATTTTCTAAACAATCTGTTCAGAGGTGGCATTAAACAACTCAGGATATAAAGAACAAAGTTAGTGAAGTCTTTATGCTTATTGTTTCAGACGCTGGTCAGGCTGCATCTAGTGTATGGGGCACTGCTCGTTTCCTTAAACAGACTCAGGAACACTGAAGAAAGTACAAACTTTATTCAAAGGAAGGTACCAAAACTGAGATAATACAATAATCTCAAAACCTTTTTTTTTAATTTCAGGTTAGTAATAGATTAGATAAGAAAGACATGGAGTAGAATCCAAGACTAGGGACAATAGAGAAGAAAAGATAGTTATCAATACATCCCATAGGGAAACAAGGAATTTTTTTCCATTTCAAAAGTGGTTCTAATACAGAGCTCACAACCACAGGAAATGATTGAAGCAAATGGCGTAGATGCTTTCGATGGGGAAGAGAAGGAATATATGCAGAGCAGGAAGGCAGAATGAGAGGAGACTCATGTCAAGCAGCACAAGCAAGTTGGGCCCAAATGGCATATTCCTGCACTATTCATTCAATGAAATCCTCTGTAAAGAATAACAACTTGCATTTATAAAGAATCTTTGACATTGTAGAACATTCCAAGGTGCTACATAGAAGCATTATCAGAAAACAAAATGACACTAAACCACAGGAGATACAGTGCTGGTCAAAGTGATAAACTTTAGTGAACATTTTAAATGGGTAGAGATAGGTGCAGAGGTTTACAGGACTGGATCAAGCTATCATTTATTTCATTTCTGTAGTCTTCTCCTATTATGTGTTGATATGAGGCAGGGAGTACACAGAGTTGAGTTGCCCCCATAAACCATATTTGATGACCAGCACAACTATTTCCACAACACGAGTCAAAAACTTAGAAGAACGGCAAGAGGAGAAAAATCCAACAAGGAATAATCCAACTCAGTAAATACATCAGGAAATAAAAGCAAAGAGGAGTCATATCGGACTCGAAACTTTAACTGTTTCTGTTCACAGATGCTGCCAGACTTGAGTTTCTGTAGCACTTGTGTTTTTATTTTAAATAAATAATGCAGAGTTAATTTAGACAAAAAACCAGGTGGTTCATTTCACAACTTTACCACACTGAACTAACCTGATGTCAATGTCGTAGACAGTTAAGTGTACGGACAAAACTTGGCAGGCACAATGTAATGTGGAGAAGTGTAATGTTAATCAATTAGTGGGATAAACAGGAACACTGGATAATATTGGCTTTCAGAGTTATCTTGTTGGCCCTGTACAGAGGAGTGCAGTATATGAGAAACTAAATCTTCTTAAAAATATACAGGGTTTTGGTGAAAATCACATCGAATACTGCAACATGTTTTGCTCTCTTTACCTAAGGAAGGATTATATTACTTTAGATGAAATACAACAAAAAGTCACTTTGAGTGATAGTCAAGATGTGGGAACTGTCCAGTAGAAGACACTGAGTGGATCAGGCCTACATTCCTGGGGTTTAGAATAATAAGAGATAACTTACATCAAATTCTTAAGGGGCTTGACAGAATATATGCCTAGAAGATCTTCCCCTGGCTATGTAGACCATAGAACCAAAAAGTCAATGCATGGGAATAGTGAGTCAGTTTAAGTCTCAGATGAGACTTTTCTCATTCAAAGGAGCTTTGGAATTCTCTACCACAAAGCTGTGGATACTCATCAATTGATAATATTTAGGATAGAGATTGATGATTCTAAGGGAAGCAAGGGGTAACCTGGGAACATGTAATCAAGTAGATGATGTTTCATTATTCTACTGAATGGCAGAGTGGGCTCGGAGTTGAATGGCCAATTCTTTACATTTTTATAGTGCACAGTCATCATGAACAGAAATATGAATTAAAATGCTACCACACAAATTACACCAGACAAGGTGTGTAAATGGAAGTTCCTTCCATTAACAGAATGACTCACAGTTGCTTGAAATTGTCGGGGGTGAACATCAGATGTGAATGAACATATTGCAAAACTGCACCATCTGCTTAATACTCAACAGTAGCTTTCTTCCAACTTAAACATAAACTTTAAATGGGATGGAGCGAGTCTGTGGCTTCATGGTGATACTCCCTCCTTTGCATTCAAAGGCACAATATGAACCATGTTCCAGATAGTCCAAGTGTGACAATCAGAAATGCTACATAGTTCCACACACCAATTCCCTAGCCCATCCCCAACCCCTTCTAATCCTCCTTGTGGAATTCAATTAAACTCTCTTCTCACGGGATTCCAAGAAGAAAGCAATGATTATGTTGCATTCTGTCAAACTCAGTCCACAAATCCTTCACTCCTTGGAACGCCACTCTCCAAGGAGAAGGTGCAGTTACAAAATAGCCATGGGTTTCATAAGGTTAGGTTGAGAAGTGCAGCCAAGAGGGGCAGGGACTGAGCAAGCTCCCAGGTTGCAGGCACTGCTGTCATGAAGGTGTCTCCCCTCTCACCCTCAGTACTAATGTTTTTGCTGCTTTGGTCACTGCTCAGAGGTAAATGTGTGACTATTTAAAAGCATCTTTCATTCTATTTCCACTCTCAGAGGTAGCAGTGCCAAGACTGCAAACTGCAAATGCCAGAAATCGAAACAGACAATAGCAGCAATTTTTATGAAGTCAGCCTTCCCTTGATCAAATGCCCACCAAGATGCAATCTTCACCATAAGTTACAGGATAGCCATCGAATGCAAAAGCCCTGGACAATATTGTCTCTGTAGGTCACGAACACCAAAGCCAGCTGGTGCAGGCCTACTGACTATCAACTAATCTAGACATAAGTCAGAAAATCAATACACCAACTTTAATAAATGAAATAACAACAAAGGCATGCAAATCAATTCTCAATCACACTATGTTGGCTAAATCAGTAGCATATAGATAAAGCCGCAAAAAACTTTGCAGATTTTCTGTCCAAGGCAAATAACAATGAAAATCTGGAATACGATAACTCGAGTGAAACACAAGGGATCTCTCGGCGCAGCAAGATTTAAACCCACTTCTGTACACCAAGGTCCGGCTTCACTGAGAGTGTACCCTATCTCAGGACCACAAGGTCTCGCTCCAAGTCCCAGAAATGTGTCCTGACATGTCCAAGCAACTTTAATTAAAAATAACACTTTAACCTAGCCAACGTTATAGACGAAGAGAGTGGGGATCATGAGGGAAAGGAACAAGACAGGTAGGGAGGGAGGGAAGAAGTGGAGGGGGCAAGAGGGAGCTAGTATGGATGGCAGGAAGAAGGGGCGAAGGCGGATTGGGGAGGACAGATGGAGGGGAGGGAGGGGGAGGACAGGGAGATGGAGAGAGGAGATAGATGGGGTAGTGGGGTGAGAGAGTGAGGGGGGTGTGAAGAGATGGAGGAAGGACAGGAGTATACAGAGGCAGGAGCTGTCAGTGTGAAGCCCCCAAGGGCAGTGTGCAGAGCGTGCATACCCTCCCTTCTGCCCCCCTGGGTGAGGTACCTTTTTTGGCCTTGTCACTCGGAATGTTCTGGGCTCGGAGCCGTTGGTCCAGGATATACAGCATCTCACCGCCCAGGTTAATGAAGAGCAGTGGCAGTGTCCTCAGTGACATCTTCACCAGGGGTGAGGGTCTCTCTCTGTCCCGGGGGTGGGGGTCTATGTCTGTTTGTCTCTGTCCCGGGGGGAGGGGGGGTCTCTCTCTCTCTCCCTGTTTTTCTCTCTGTCCCGGGGGTGGGGGTCTATGTCTGTCTCTCTCTCTGTCCCGGGGGTGGGGGGTCTCTCTCTCTGTCCTGGGAATGGGGGGGGTCGCTTTCTCTGAATCCGGGTCCTGGCTGGGGGCGGGGTTTCCCGTTGCCTTGACGCTCCGGTTGTCATGGCAGTGACGCAATCGCGCCGGCACCAATCAACACTCCCCTGACTGGGGTTTGCCGTTAAAGGGATGGTCCGTTTGGTGTTAGCCGATAATAAACCTCCATGCGGCTGCTCCAAATCCAGCCAGCAGCTGGGATTGACATGTTTTAATCAGAAATTCACCAGGCCATGCTGACTGACCCACTCTGACTCCCAGTTGATCAATGCAGCAATTTTAAATCTGTCCTTGTTTTCAGATACAGCCTTTCCCCTCCATGCCCCCGGTATGATTCCCTGTAACCCCCAAACCGTCTGCCATAGATGTGCCCCTTTCATTCTGGACTTTGTGCGTCTGCAGTTATAATTGCTGCACCACCAGCAGTCATACATACGTTCAGTCCCAAAGCCCCATTTCCCTCCCAAACTGCTCTTCCTGTCAATCTCACTTAAGACATTACATAGAACAGTACAGCACAGTGCAGGCCCTTCGACCCACGATGTTGTGCCAACCTAGTATCCTACTCTTAAGATCAAACTACCCTTCATACTCTTCATTTTACTATCATCCATGTGCCTGTCCAAGAGTGGCTTAAATGTCCCTAATGTATCTGACTCTACTACCACCGCTGGCTGTGCATTCCACACACCCACCACTCTCTGTGTAAAGAACCTACCTCTGACATCTCCCCTATACCTTTCTGCAATCACCTTAAAATTATGCCCCCCTCATAATAGCCATTTCCGCCCTGGGAAAAAGTCTCTGGCCATCCACTCTATCTATGCTTCTCATCATTTTGTACACCTCCATCAAGGCACCTCTCATCCTTCTTCACTCCACAGAGAAAAGTCCTAGCTCTCTCAATCTTTCCTCATAAGACCTGCCCTCCAGTCCAGGCAGCATCCTGGTAAATCTCCTCTGCACCCTCTCTAAAGCTTCCACGTCCTTCCTCTCATGAGGCAACCAGAACTGAACACAATATTCCAAGTGTTTTACAGAGCTGCAGCATAACCTTGGGGTTCTTAAACTCAATCCCTAGCCAATGAAAGCCAACATGCCATACGCCTTCTTTACAACCCTATCAACTTGGGTAGCAACTTTGAGGGATCTATGGACGTGGACCCCAACATCCCTCTGTTCCTCCACACTGCCAAGAATCCTGCCATTAACCCTATATTCTGTATTCAAATTCGATCATCCAAAATGAATCACTTCACACTTTTCTGGGTTGAATTTCATCTGACACTCCTTTGCCCAGCTCTGCATCCTACCAATGTCCCGTTGCAACCTCCAACAGCCCTCCACGCTATCCACAACTCTACCACCCTTCGTGTCATCAGCAAACTTACTAACCCACCCTTCCACTTCTTCATCCATGTCATTTATAAAGATCACAAAGAGCAAAGGTCCCAGAACAGATCCCTGCGGAACACCACTGGTCACCGAGCTCCAGGCTGAATACTTTCCATCTACTACCACCCCCTGTCTTCTATTGGACAGCCAATTCTGTATCCAGACAGCCAAATCTCCCTGACTCCCATGCCTCCTTACTTTCTGAATGAGCCTACCATGGGGAACCTTATCAAACGCCTTGTTAAAATCCATATACACCATAGCCACTGCTCGACCTTCATCAATATGTTTTGTCACATCCTCAAATAATTCAATTCGGCTTGTGAGGCATAACCTGCCCCTCACAAAGCTATGCTGACTATCTCTAATCAAACTATGCTTTTCCAAATAATCATAAATACTGTCTCTCAGAATTATCTCCAATAATTTGCCCACTACAGAAGTAAGACTGACTGGTCTGTAATTCCCAGGATTATCCCTATTCTCTTTCTTGAACAAGGGAATAACAATCCCTTGTTCAAGAAAGGGAATAGGCGCAGCAATCTCTTCCCTTGCTTCTCATAGAAACCTTGGGTATATCCCGTCTGGCCCAGGGGACTTATCTATCCTCATGTTTTTCAAAATTTCTAATACATCCTCCTTCCTAGCATCAACCTGTTCGAGCATATCAGCCTGTTTCACGCTGTCCTCACAAATGACAATGTCCCTTTCACTAGTGAATACTGTAGCAAAGTATTCATTAAGGACCTCCCCTACCTCCTCTAACTCCAGGCACATGTTCCTTCCACTATCACTGATCAACCGTACCCTCACTCTGGCCATCCTCTTGTTCCTCACATAAGCATAGAATCCCTTGGGGTTTTCCTTAATCCTACCCACCAAGGCTTTTTCATGCCCTAGTCTAGCTCTCCATTCTTCAGTTCCTTCCTGGTTACCTTGTAATCCTCTAGAGCCCTGTCCAATCCTTGCTTCCTCAATCTTAAGTAAGCTTCCTTCTTCCTCTTGACTAGATATTCCACATGTCTTGTCATCCAAAGTTCCTTCACCTTACTATCCCTTCCTTGCCTCAGTGGGACAAACTATCCAGTACTCATAGCAAGTGCTCCCTAAACAACCTCCACATTTCTGTCGTGCATTTCCCTGAGGACATCTGTTCCCAATATATGCTCCACAGTTCCTGCCTAATAGCATTGTAATTCACGTTTGATCAAGAAAGAAAGATTTATGTTTCACGACCTCGCACAAGCACTGAACATCTCAAAGTGGTTTACTTTTATATTCACTTTTCAGGTCCTCATCCCTTTTCCTCGCTATGTCATTGGTACCAATGTGTACCATGACTTGTGGCTGTTCACCCTCCCCCTTAAGAATCCTGAAGACCCGATCCAAGTCATCCCTGACCCTAGCATCCGGGAGGCAACATACCATCCATGAGCCTCGCTCGGTACCACAGAATCTCTTGCCTGCTCCCCTAACCAGTGAATCTCCTGTCATTATAGCTCTCCTATTCTCCCCCTTCCCTTCTGAGCCACAGAGCCAGGCTCAGTGCCAGAGACCTGGCCGCTATGGCTATCCCCTGGTAGATCGCACCCACCCCCCCCCCCCCCCCCCCCAACCCCCCCCCCCCACCCCCCCCCCTCCCCTCCCCCCCACCCCCACCTCAACAGTATCCAAAGCGGTATACTTGTTATTGAGGGTAACGGCCACAGGGGATCCCTGCACTATCTGCTTACCTATTCCCTTTCCCTCTCCTGACAGTCACCCAGCTACCTGTATCCTGTGACTTGGGTGTGACTACCTCCTATAACTGCTCTCTATCACTCCCTCAGCCTCCCAAATGATCTGGAATTCATCTAGCTCCAGATCCAGTTCCCGAACACGATCTGTGAGGAGCTGGAGTTGGGTGCACTTCTCGCAGGTGAAGTCAGCAGGGACACTAGTAGTGACCCTTACCTCCCACATCCTACAAGAGGAGCATGCAATTGCCCTAGCTTCCATTCCCTCTGCTCTAGGTTGCCAAAAGAGATAAACAGAAAGAAAAAAAAAGAAAAAAGCCTTACCTTACCAATCCTCCACGCAGTCTTTTTTTTTGGTAGAGGAGGAGGATGGGTGGGAGACACTACACGTGCAGTGTTTCGGGTTAAGCCACTGCACGAATATATTAGTTCACTTACCCAGCAGTCGCCATGTCCACGTTTGCTCCTGCTTAGCCTTCACTCCACCTATTCACAAAGCAAGTATTTTGTACACAAACTTATCTTTCCAGCTTCCCCATAGTTCGCGGTCGCAGGCGTTCTCACGTTACTTAACATCGACAGATTCTTGATCAGTACAGGAATCAAGGGTTGTGGGGAAAGAGCAGGAAAGTGGATATGAGGAATGTCGAATCAACCATGATCCTGTTGAATGGCACAGCAGGCTCAAGGGTCCAAACAGTCTACTCTTATCGACCTCTCAATCTGCCTCCGTTTTTGGTCGGCCGTTCTAATATTGCTGTCAATGCCCATTTTTATCTGACTATGCCTCAGCAAAACACCTTGGGTTTTTTCTACTTTTTTCTACTGTAAATGCAAGTTTATTAATGGCTCATTATCTGAATGCACATAACATTCAGAGTAAAAAATGAATTAACTGCTTAACTACAAGTTAATAGGCATGATTTTATAACCATTACATAGACGTGGTTACAAGGAGATCAAAGCTGGGAACTAAATATTTGGGTATGTGATTTTACGAAAGATGTGGAGGTGCTGGCATTGGACTGGGGTGGAGGGGATCAAGGTCAAAAATCACACGACACCTGTTGGAATATAACCTGGTATCGTGTGATTTTTGACTTTTTAAAAGAAGAGATTGAAAGGAAAGGGCAGTGGAGTGGCATTTTTAGTATGGGATGGAATATGTATGATAGCAACCAATGATTTAGGATCAAGGGATGTAGAATCTAAAGGTGTGAAGACAAGAAATAAAAAGGGCAAGAAGACACCTAAAGTCGATAGGCCCCATAACAGTAGCCCGATAACATATATGGTGGGACAGAGGATAAACTGTGAAATAACAAGACACTATAAAAAAGCAGTACATTAATCATGATGATGTTGATCTTCCTGTAGAAAGGGGTGGTCAATTGGTAGAGGTAGCCCTGAGGAAGAATTCATAGAACGTCTTTGAGACAGTTTCCTAGAACAGGCCGGTCAGTTTAAGCTCAATGGTGGGGAATTTACTCTGAGGAAAAAATTAACCTGGACTTGGAGGGGCAGGGATTGATCAAAAACAGTCAGCACGGTTTTATTAAGGGGAGGTCATGTCTGACCAACTTGATTGAATTTTTTGAAAAGGTGACCAGATGTGGAGATTAGGACAGTGCTTTTGATGCAGTCTACTTGTACTTCAGCAAGACTTTTGATAAGCTCCACCAGAGGAGACTGATAGCCAAGGTAAGAGCCCATGGGATCCAAGGAAAGTTGGCAAATTGGATCCACAACTGGCTGAGTGGCAGAAAGCAGAGGGTGATGATTAAATGGGTATTTTTCTGACTGGCAGACTGTGTGCAGTGGGCTGTCACAGGGGTCAGTGGTGGGGCCCATGTTGTTTCTATAAAACTTTAATGTAGGAGAGTTGATCAGTAA